AGTCAATCAGGTAAGCAATAAGCAAACAGCAGGTGTTCATCATCAGTGCTCAATCATCACTTAATTAACCCCATCATTGTCTCATTAACTTTAACTGCTGCTGAGTAAATTTTGCTCAGTTTAGAGAGGGACCAAATATTCTCTGAACTGAGTAAATTTTACTCTGAGGATTTTGCTGTGTAACCATAACTATAAAATAAATATTCAACACAAATGTCAATTACTAGTAAGAAAAGAAACAGTTGGAACAGTCAGGAACAGTTGTATGTAATATCTGAGTGCTTTTAAGGACTAAACTTACCTGAAATTGGTGAAAGCAGCCGCATAAGCAGCTTTGTTGACCGGCAGAATGATTGCCGTTGTTTAGGGATTTAGGGAATCGACTTCAAAAGAGTCGATTCCTCAATGGACCTTGTGCTGGAATTGACTTGAAGACAGGAATCGACTCCCAGAAACGAGTATGTTTTTTTTTTTTTTTTTAAATCTCCAGAATGAAGCAGTTACACGCTACACTAGTTATAATGCTCATTCTTGAGCACGATGAACATAGAAGACACGTTTTACGTGTTTGCTTTTGAATTTTGAGACCACGAACACTAGCTATTAGAATTAGTGCTGCGGGAGTGCTCTTGGTAACGTTATTATGTGACCATAGAATGACCAAAACAGAACGTCCTCCTTAAGTCATATTGGAAACGTTATCATATGACTAAAGGAGGACCACGTAGAAACGTTCTGTTAATGTTAGAAAGTTTCTCTTTGTAATGTCATTATGTGACCATAGAATGACCAAAACAGAACGTCCTCCTGAAGTCATAATGGGAACATTATTTTATGACTAAAAGAGAATGTTTTAAGAACGTCCCTAATGTTCTGTAAAGGTTCGGGACTTTCATTACCTTTAGGGAACTTTCAGGGAATGTTGCGAGAACGTCGCCTCCTACCTGGGTGCTCTCTGTATCTACCTTTGAGAGATGCATACATTCTCTGAATGAACTCTGCTGATCTGAGTTTTCTTTTTTAGTAAAGAATTGAATGTTTCCCTACATAAAACCATATTTCCACATGGCAGTTTGTGTCTCTTGTCTTGGCAGAATCTAATGTGTGGCTTGTGTTCTCCTTGTTTAATGCAAGTTTCCGCAAATCTCACAGAAGTGTCCCACTCCACAAAGGGGAGATTCCCATAAGGGTAGATTCCCAGTGGTCCATAAAGATAATGGGGACTCCTGGACAGTCTTAAGCATTGCTGCTATCACCTTCCCCATTTTCCTCAGATTCGACTATGAGTTTTGGTTCCTCAAAGGTTTTTTTGAACAGACTTTAATATGGAGATCGGCCCACAATTGTTTTGGCTGACCTTCTTTCTTCTTCATTCTCCCACATGTCGAAGTAGTCTTCATCTGTAAACTCTTCTATGAGTACCTCTTGGTGTTTATTCAAGGCATCAATAAATTCACCGCTGCTACTGACTGTTGCAGTCTCATGGCTGGCCAAGAGCACAAGTCCTTTATCATCAGTTTTCTTGCCAAATGCTAACACTTACAGCCTTGATAATGTGGGCAGAACAGAGATGCTAAACAGTGATTTGTTTTATCTGCACACGTCTTGATTTTCTTGCAACAGCATAAGTCCACTCTGGGTATGCATCAATGTTGTGTCTATTGAAAGCAAGAACAACAACTTGCATCAAGGCCCAGATGTAGTCTGTTTCCACTTTTTGAACTCAGACCCTTGTGTACTTTGACAGTTTCAGCTGAGACTGCATTAGCCAAAAAGCCAATAGAGGAATACTGTGCTCATTGCTCAGCATCTCACACACTGGAAGAGGTGGATTATTTCTGCCTTCTCCAGGCAAAGTGAGTGCATAGTACAGCACTCTTTTGCTTTGCTCCGGGATCTTTGATACCACACCTCCTGTTGCATCAAGATATAATGACTCTGCACACTTTTTTCCCTGAGGTAATGAACCAGGATGCTGATACCTACTTCTGTATATAGGTGAGCACCAAATGGGTTTATTTGGAAGTGTTGGATGTAACCAGGCATGTCATAAGAGTTGGTGTCACACTCTTTAATGACATGCTTAGTTGAATGCATCTTCATTAGTACACTTTCATGTACAGGCATGTCCCTTTTCATTTCAGCATTGACCTTCAGGATATTTCTATTTTATTTAAATTTTGTGTCAGGTTACCAGACATTAGCTCTTGAATGGGTGTTGATCTGAGTCTTTCGTAGTACACCTAACTTACACCCTGAGATATCACTCTTGCTATTTTTCCTCGCCCTATGTTGCTTGCTGGTCTAAACTGTTTTTCTTTTCTTTTTTTTTTTTACATGGCATATTGATCCAGTATGCCTGATTTGCATGGTAATGCTGAAACAAAGTTGATGAGGCTTTTTTTTTCCATTGTGAAACTGTACCGGCCACATTTTCCTTTGGCTGCCAACACAACATATGTGCCGGCAGGTAAAAATGATTTAGGGAACAGCAAGGATTTTTATGCCAAAACTGTTTGTATTGCACAGTATGTTGGTCCGTGGTTTTTGAAGAGTGGTTTAAATTTTCTTCCAGTCTTTGGGAGATATCGCAATTCAGAATTTTACTAGAGTGAATGGGATCTTTCTGTACTTTCTTTTTTCATTGTTGGATGACTTGCTTGATCCAGCAGAATTGAAGGGTTCTGACCCATTCCCCACGAGTCATTTTTTTGTTTCAGTTTGACTTATTTATTCATTTATGTTTTGCTGATCAGTTCATATGAGAGTCGTTGGGATAATTAGGTAAAAATAAATTAATATTATAAGACAATGAAAGTGGTTTTTGACCTTACATGCATTTCAGACTGTTGTTGGAGACCCCCAAAACCAAAATGTTAATTTTTTAATGCTTAATAGGGGCTCACATTTCCATTCTGCTAGTTAATCTCTTCTCCTATGCATCTGGACTACATCTAATTAAATCTGTAAATAAATGTGAATTAATTGCAATTCATGGCAGTGATTTAGACTCTTTATGCAAAGTACCAATTGAAACTTTTGTAAAATACTTAGAAATTACTGTTGCTAAAGACAACAGTCTTTAATATTAATTATTCTTAATATTCAGAATAATTTTGTAAATCAATTTCTAAAAGCAAAAAAAAAAAAAAAACATTCTTAATGGTTGGTGGGAAAGGGATGTCTCAATATTTGGATGAATTATATTAACCAAAAGGGAATTGTTATCTAGATGTGTTTATCGAGCCTCTCACTAGCTATCCCCCACATTTAATAAAATAGAACAGGTGTTTAATTTTTAATTTTGTCTGGAAAAACAAGTATCTCTGCATTAACGTAAATAATAGGGAAGGGGGGCTTCATTTTATTGACATGGAATTAATGAACTAGGTTCTTAAAAAATGCAATGGCTAAGATAAATTCTTTGTAACAAAAACTTAGTTACTTCTGCAGTATTTTGCAAAATAGGTGGTTTTGACTTTTTGATCAGATGTGCTTTTGTACCGTCTAAACTTTGTGTCCCATTATGCTGGAAACTAACCTTTTCCTACAATTTCAGTCCTCATAAGACTTGTTTATGGAACAATCGTTTTATTTTACATCAAAATAAATCTTTGTTTTAGAAAAATTGGTTAAAAAAATATATTTTTGCTTTACTGGATATGATGAATAGCCACAGTGACATTCTTAATTACAATAACTTCTGCGTCAAACATGGTTTTGCTTGTCACCCTAAATAGTTTTACACAATAATTAATGCTATTCCTAAAAACATCATAGTATTGATCAGAGATATTCTTTCATACTATTCTGAACTGTTTTCCCTTTCATCTCTGTTTTTAGCCACTTAATGTTTTGGAGACACAAAATGTAATTATTTTATAAGGAATATTCTTATTCAAAGGCTTCATCCTAATCAGCTCAGATCTTATTTTATTTTGAAAGATTTTAATTCACAGGAATTCGGAAAAAAAAAAATTCTTATCCAATTCTTCCCAAAATTAAAGAGCTTCAGTTTAAAATGGTTAATGTGTATCCATCAAAAGAATTCCTGAAATTAAAATGTAATACTGATGATAAATCTTATCAATTTTGTGAAAGTTATATTGAAATCACTGAGCATATTTTCTACAATTGCATACACTCAAGAGTTATTTGGGCTTATGTACATGACAGAATGTGTCATGTCAATATCCATGTAAACCCTATAAAATTAAATTTGGTGTAACTAAAAAAAATGTATAATAACCTTTTATGCTTTGTAAAATTCTTCATTCATAAATGCAGGTTATGAAAAAAATGGGGAAGATACACATTTTACCTGTTATTAATGAACTTGCTATTATGGTTTCATCACTTAGTACTTTGTTAATTAATAAAGCCACTAAAGTAGCTTTTTTTTGTCAGCAAATTCTGTACCCTATAGTCATTTCCATATGCTGTTTTTTTCTATATTTTTGTCTGCCTATTGTTGTAATTATTACTTCATGCTTGTTTATGCATGTAAAGCCTACTGTGTTTGTACATTTATTTTTAACATTTATAAAAAAAAATAATAATAAAATAAAAGTTAGATCTAGTCTATAATCCCATTTTTTTTTGAAAATGTTGGTGGTTTAGAGTTTCTTTTAATGTGTGACTTTGAGATTAATAGACTCATATTATGCTGTCTACATACACACACCACTTACAGACAGTCCACAATATAATCAGCGCACATGAGTAGTACAATATGTATTGCATATAAATAATAATTGGACTGAACAGATAGCTGAAGTGCTTTAGTAGTCTGTTAAGTACTGGAATTAGCATGTAAGCTAAGAAATCACTCATGTTCTCATTCACAATAGTGACACTGGGTTTCCCATACACAGATTTATTTGTGGTTATGTGGGCATTCTCACATGAACGTAACTTGTTGACTACAGAAAGTTTAATTGTCTTCATGAAGAAAACTTGTTTCTTTTCTCAAATCAGTCAATCAAAATAAATGTGTAGTGTTTTGAAACCAAAGTCTTCATTTGTTACCCACAACACATCAAGATTTGATCAAGTCAAAATCTCATAATCTGACACAAATCTGATCTGTGGTAACTGGCAAATGTCATTGTGTAGTCTGATCAGGGTTTTAGGGAGTCTGCATCAGTCTCTCACTGTCATTGACTTATGGCGAGTTCACACCGCAAGAGTTTACCTGGACTTTCATTCGCCAACAAGTTTTGTGAAACTGCAGACAAAAGCCCAAAACTGGAGGCAAATCGGTGTTTGTTCACACGAGTAAAATCAAACAATGTGAATGATCAAAAACACAATCTAAGGGTGTAGGGTGTAGTTTCTCCTCCTTAATCTTTCTAATTTTCTTTTCAGTGCCGACCAATTGATGGATGTGTGCAATGTTCAAAAATCTGGTTATTGGTTCATTATTAAGTTGAAACTCTTACAACCTGGTACTGCGCTGTGACTCATGATCTACACTACAAAAAAAATCTTCACCCCTCTTCAGTTATTGAGTTTAAATCTTCAGGTGTTCAAAGGGTTTCATTTCCAGTAACTTGACATGTATTCAAGAGTTCGCACTTGTTTGGCATGCTGTCCCGGGAGAGAGCCCTAAGCTCTGCTGGACAAGGGCTCAATTTTGAGGACTCTGATCTTCATTGTGAAGCTTCATGTGAGTGTTGAGGCTTCTTTTATATTTAAAGCCCTTTCCACACTCACTGCATCTAAAACCATCCACTCCTGTGTGAGTCTTCATGTGGTTCCTAATTGTGTCTTTGCGTGTGAGACTCTTTCCACACTGATCACATGTGAACACTATGGTTCCAGTGTGACCATTCATGTGGTTCTTGAGGCTAGTTTTGGTTGTGAAGCTCTTTCCACACTGAGCACATGCAAATGGCTTCTCTCCAGTGTGACTTATCATGTGGTTATTGAGTGCACTTTTACATCTGAAACTTTTACCACACTCTGTGCATGTGTAAGATTTCTCTCCAGTGTGAATCCTCATGTGGAGGTCAAGGTCTTGCTTTTGAGCAAAACTTTTCCCACACTGTGGGCAAGTAAAACTTCTGCCTCCATTATGAGTTCTTATGTGGGCTTCAAGGTTGCTATTCTGCTTAAAACTCTTTCCACACTGAATGCAAGAGTAAGGTTTCTCCCCAGTGTGAATTCTCATGTGCACTACCAAGTTTGCTGATTGATAGAAGCTTTTTCCACACTGTTGGCATGTGTACGGCCTCTCTCCAGTGTGAATTCTCATGTGCGCTGCCAAGTTTCCTGTAGTATAGAAGCATTGTTCACACTGTTGGCATATGTAGGGCCTCTCTCCAGTGTTAGTTCTCATGTGGACTTTAAGGTTGCCATTATGCTTAAAACTCTTTCCACACTGAGGGCAAGAGTAAGGCTTCTCCCCAGTGTGAAGTCTCATGTGCACTACCAAGTTTCCACTAGTACAGAAGCATTGTCCACACTGTTGGCATGTGTAGGGCTTCTCTCCAGTGTGAATTCTCATGTGGATTTGAAGGTTGTGTTTTCGCCTGAAACGGTTTCCACACTGACGACAAGTAAAATTACATACAGATTCGGATTTCCGAGGTCTTCGTCGTGATGAAGTCTTTTTAGTCAGTGTGGGTTTTTCATCAGTTGTTGTTTCTTGGTGTTTCTCAAACTGTTTCTCTTCCATCTTATTCTGTTGATGAGTCTCTTCTTTCAGCACCATCAGGTCTTAAAAAAAAAAGTGAACGTTAGTATAATGGCACAAATCAACAAGCATGAAATGCATGCTTTACCCAAAAATTAAAAAGACCTTACATTTACTCTCGGTCATGTGGTTTTAAACATTTCTTTTCTTCTGGAACGTAAAGTAAGCCAGCGTTTTTTAATTTTTTTATTATTTATTTTAAATATCTATTTTATAGGTTTAAAACCACACAAGAGAGAGTGTGGCAAGGCATAATGGAATACAGGTTCTAAAGAATATGGCAGAGCACTTATGTGCAAAATGTAATTTATTTACAGTGTCCATTCCTCTGTACAGTCAATCCAAAAATGACCATAAATATGTACAAGTGATATCTGTAAAAAAATAATAGATATCAGATTAAAAAAAAAAAAAACAAGAAACTAAATATATACATGTAGAAATTACCACTCTTTGCTGTTCAACCTTCCACAAAAAGGTACAGCACACTAGCACTATTTGCCTCCCGCTGCAAAAGACTAATTAAAAGACTCCACTAAGTTTCCTTGGGTGAGTATTAAAATATTGCACTTGTATAGATGATCACATACACAACATTTAGATAATCTCCAGTATCATAACAGGTGTATTGAACGATAATAATACATCATATTGATCAATACATCTGTCAGTTCATGTATTTTCCTATTACTCTGGTTTTGTATTCCCAGCTCTCCCCCAAAACAGGCAACGTTAAGACAGTCCAGTTATCGGAGTGATCGTGCATGCACGTTGCGGAAGTTTAGCGTTATCAAACTTTCTAACCAGCTACAGGAGCTGCCCGTTGCTTCCAGTAACCTGGACTGCATAAGTTCAATAAATATGTATGTGTAACCCATTTGGTGTCTGTGTGTGTATATTGGGAATATCAACAAGTGAATGTATGTATGTGTGCGTTATATATGCAAAGATAATATTATCCCAATCTTTGTGTGCATCCAAGGGTTGAGAATGGCAGAATCACTGATGGTTATTAGACTATGTGTAAATTAAATGATGGACTGTTGCGATCGTAAGAAAAATGTGTAAATGGTGAGGAAATTTTAATTTCTGGGTGTACTATCCCTTTTAAGCATAGATCTCAAACTCCATTCCTGGAGGGCTGCAGCTCTGCACAGTTTTGCTTTAACCTTAATCAAACACAGCTGACCCAACTGTGGAATTACTAGAGATGATTTCATACACCCTAAGTCTCTCAGAATATGCAGTCTCCTGCATATGCATAAGGACTCCCGGATGCCCACACACGAATAATAATCTTCCGGAAATTGCACGTCTCCCCCTGGTCCTCAAATAGGTCACACACCCCTCACCAATGCATCCCTCCCTGCCCTAAAAGGGCACCTATGGTGAAAAATCTGCTTTTCAAGATGTTTAAACAGATATGTGTGTAGGTATAATGTTTAGACCGTCATATTGGGGTGATATAAACACACCCAGTGCTTTTTTTTTCATAAAAATTATGGACCAATTGTAGCGGTTTTTAGACCGACCGCAACTTGACGTAGGAGTGCTGTCCCCTTGCCCACTGAATTGATTGACAGCTGCGTATTAACATGTCCCGGTAGTTACGTGTATAATCATATCAACAAAAGAGGACGAGTGCAAAGCAACCAGGAATTAAGGGTCTGTATAGTTTGTTAGGATCAGCAATCATCATCAAATGTGATCAAGAGTGAGTTTGACATGTTTAAAATGTTAAATAACAGCACGTGTGTAATGAATTACAGAGATTTACTTCAGATTTACTTTATCAGCACAGCAGCATGTCAGAACAATTATAAAAGAAGACGCTTTAATCCCAGTTTGTGGACGTTAAATCAGGTTAATTTTGTACATTAACATAACAGATATCCATACAGCAGTGGAGATTAACCTGTATCCTGTCACATATTCGTGAAAAAAGAGTGCAAAGCTAAACGCACTCGCTGTCTGTGTGTGTGCGCGTGAACTTTGTAATGACATTGTGTGTGACTCATCGTTAAGTTGACTCAACTTAACACAACAAATACTCATTGGTAAAGTTCTTACAGTAGCATTTCTCATAAACGCTATATGAGATGTGCTTTCTTTATGTCTGTCTGTTGTCTGATGCAGCCGAGGGAGGAGATTAAAAGCACGTAGAAACAGTGGGCGGGGAGGACTAGTCTTAAAGGTGCAGTACAACAATACAGCCACCTGGTGCAAAAATTTATAAAATAGAATCTTATAAAAGGTATTCATTTATTCATTCATTCATTTTCTTGTCGGCTTAGTCCCTTTATTAATCCGGGGTCGTCACAGTGGAATGAACCGCCAACTTATCCAGCACGTTTTTATGCAGTGGATGTCCTTCCAGCCGCAACATATCTCTGGGAAACATCCTCACACACACATACACTATGGACAATTTAGCCTACCCAATTCACCTGTACCGCATGTCTTTGGACTGTGGATGAAACCGGAGCACCCGGAAGAAACTCCCACGCAGGCAGAACATGCAAACTCCACACAGAAATGCCAACAAGTTTTGAGCTAAAAACTTTACACATTCTGGAGACACAAAAGACTCATTTTAAATCTGAAAAAAAGGCTTAACCTAGGTACCCTTTAAATGCAATTGATCAAATGCACTTGCTCTAGAATACTCATGTTGTGTTCCCTCATGTGTGTCTTCCACTAAATTAAAAAATGAACCTGCTTGGAAAACTCGATTGACACAAATCCTGCATGTTCATAGCAAGTACGTATAATTCACACTCATATTTGTGAGTTTGCATTATTGAATATAACTTATGCAAATATTTAATGCCTCGTTTGCTATAAACTAGAGAGATGAGGTGATGGCAGATGACATACTTTGCTACTTGTTTTTATTCATTTGTATTTTTGTCTTTGTTTTCTTGACTTTGTGCATGTCCCGAGGCTTAGCTGAAGATTTACATGGTGACATTTTATATACCCGACAAGATGCAGAAATGCCATCTAAAAAGGTTACTTGCTGTTTGTTTAATCAGGGACAGTGACAACGCAAATATATAAATAATAATGTTAACCTGAGGTTTGCAAATGTGAACTGTCTGTTTATTTGTGGATTATTTGTTAAACCGCAGGTATAGCATGAGCAGTATGGAACGTATTTACAGATAACCCAGGATTTTGTTTATCAAGTGTTAGAATGACCCAGGGTTAACAATTTGAAGTGTGAAAAGCCCTAAGAATAATCAGCATGAGCTCTCTGGGTAATATTGGATAATAGAAACCACTTTTTATTATTTTTGTCTCTTTATCTTTTAATCAAACAATTATTTGTATTAGTCATGTAAGGGTCATATATTAACTGAATTTCTAATGTTGTGGGTGAGTGCTGTGCATACTAATTAGCATTTTTGCAGAAGTAGATAGATGCGGGTCCAAAATTAAATTCAGCTCTGCAGAAACTTCCTGTCTGAAGAGAGGTGTTAAAACTGAACACAGAAAGATGTATACTTTGTTGTTGGGCAGAGAATTCGTAGAAAAAGAGGAAGTATGCCGAAGGGGCGGCCAATGGAGGACTGAACAATGACTGACAAGTGACGTTACACCAAAACTCCACCTGTTAAGATCGGTGGTGTATATATGCTGAAGTCAGGAAATGTATGTGAGTTGCAAACCTCTTGAATGTAATTCTTGTAAGGCATTGGGGTAATGTAACCCAGAGCTCCGTCATCGAATTATTGGTTTGTATCTAATAAATTACTAATATTTTTGTCATTGAAGAAAAAACTCTCCTGACCTTTTCTCTTGAACACGCATGGAATTGGCTAAATATTCCAACAGTAACCAGAGTACAATGACAAACAGCGACAATTGACAATCATGTTATGGTAGTGAACTGATCTCAAATGCTATTGTTTTAGTACTTCAGTTGTCTATTGAGAAATGAAAGTTGCCTATTGTCTTTTGGAGAACTGACCAAGAATAATAAACGGCTTCTTGCTTTACAAACAGGTATGTTCATGACTATACATACAAAGAAAAACAATAAAATTAGAAAATATGACTTTGCTACAACAAGCAGCATTAGGCATGGGCCAGTATAAGATTCTGACAGTATGATAACCTTGAATGAAAAATATCTCAATTTCACGGTACTGTGATTACTGCTCTAAAATATATTCTTTTAAATGTAAAAAACAAACACTTTCTTCCCTTAGAACACAACATATTTTTATTTGAGAAATTTTTAAAGTATGTTGAAGCAGTAAACATGTCAGGCTGAATAGTTCTAATGAATCATTGACGTCTGCTGTCTTTATTTGTTTCAAAAACACAGATTTCTTTACAATTTAAAACAGCATCTTTGGATATCTTTTCTGCTGGAGATACTGTTGTCCTGAAAATCTTAAAACAAAACATAATAATAATAATAATAAAAACTTACATATACCGTAGGGACGGTACAGCAGAGCATTTTGGCGGTTTTAAAACCTTGACTTTTACAAACTGTGGTATACCTTGAAAGTTATTGTCCCATCCCTAAGCAGCATAACATAATTCTTTAAAGGGTCACGAAACACCAAAACACATTTTTTGAGCTTTTGACAGTCGTATATGTGTCCCACACTGCTAAAAACACTATTAGGACACCTATATTTCACTAAAAAGTGTAAATTGGTTGTTTTTGCGTTATTTCAAGCAAATTCGTACTTCCTGTTTGAAACAAATTTTTGAAGCTGCGTCACGGTCATGACATAATAGCATTGTATTCCAGTGTGCAGACTGGGCGTCAGTGCCAGAGTGTGTCTTATTACGTCTTACAGTGTGATACATTAATGCATGAGTAAGGCTTGGTTCAAACCAATCAGCGCGCTCTATTGTGCAACTTCATTAATATTCATTTGTGTCACCGTGTTTACACCACAAAGACGCCACGTTGTGTTGGCAAAACAAGCGTGAAGTGTTGCTTTTATAGTTTGCTACAGTTAAGTTTCGTTTTCATTTTCTCTCTGTGAGAGCTCAGTCTCACGTGTGGATTAACAGTGTACGCGACGCTCGACAACAATAACTTACGTGTCTAAGGAGGATTATTGTTTACCTGAGAGCTGTTCTCATCTGCAAACGCTGAAATCTGGATTTGCTTGTAGTATTCTCTCCATAAAGACGCGGCTCTAGTTGCTGGTGATTGTCCTGTCTCTACAGATTTGGTAAGTGAGCGACCAGTGCTCTTTGTTTATTCAGTTTGCTCGTATCGAATTAAGTTAACTATTGCACTGAGTGCAGAAATGTTAGCACCGCATTTAGTGACCGGAATAACACACGCGGCTTTCTGACACTACCTGCCGTGTGCATCTAAGTTTCCGGGAAATGCGGAGTTTTTTTTTTCTCTCATTCGCCGTGCGGTATCAAACATTGCATGAAAAATACACGCTTAGAGCAGTTCCTCGAATCAAATACCTCGTTTGTCGCGAGGGGCATGAATGAATTCCCTGAATGAAAGAGCCAAACTGCAGTTAAAGTCCAACATTTATTAATTCAGCAAATAATTCGACTACAGATGTCCATGTAGGTTAAACACCATCGCTTTCTCCTGTCTGTGTGGGTGTGTATTTTGACTCTGAAACTCGCGCGTGCACAAATAGACACTCCCACACCATCCCACTTTAGTTCCTCCGACACTCCCCCCTAAACAGAGCTGGACACGCCCACTTTTCTGACTTTTTCGAAAGTAGAGGTGTGAAAACACCCTGCTGAAACGAGGGGGTTTCATGGCCCTTTCTTTAAAAAAGTCTCAAGCAAAAAGATTCCAGTGGCGCCGCCTGCTGGTACGTAAAGAATATGGTCAATACTGACGAACTTCACACTCAAATGTTTGCATATCATCAGCATGCTGTAATACATTTCTTAAGCAGCAAAAGTCATTTTAAGACTAGTTTGTTAGCCAGTTGTAGTCAGTGTAATGCTAAACGTTATTATTCCACTATAATTTGTTTGTTTTGTCTCACGTCGTCCCACAACAACAACATATAGTTTAGAATACTGTACAATGTTTTATAGTAAGTAACTATTTTAGTGTCCATTTCATTCAGCATATTTAATATTGGGGGCATCCATGTTTTCTGACATACTTTAAACCAGCGTTTCTGCAGGTTTCACCAAGTTAAATTTAAGACTTTTTAAGACCATTATGAATGAAATTGTAGACACATAAAGGGCTAAATGCTAAGGAATTTTTCAAATGGCCCAGATGAAAAAGACCCAAAATTTTTAAGATTTTTTTTTGCCCTATCAAAAAGATGTTATAATTTAACACAATTAATGATACAATAACAAATGAATAATAATAATTGAAAATATTTCAGATATTTCTTAGCAAAATATTTTAAATATTGTGTAAAAACAAGGAAGCATTAATTGTATCCATACACTTTTTTTAACATGAACTTCGAAAAAATAATAATAAAAAATGAACAAATATTTAAAAAGTTTTAAAAACTATAAAAAACTAAATCTATGCACAACAATCTGTTGAGGTCGATATCCTCAGCAGTAAATACATGGAGCATGTTTATTGTAAGGAAACTTTTTTATTTGTTATTGTAAGGAAAATAATTAAACCATTATTATAAATAGAGTTAAAATGACCTTTTTGAATAAAAAGTTGAAAGTTTTATTGAGATGGATTGGTGGTGATTGTATGGGTTTTGGCCAGATTGGGTAACAAAACATGAACAAAGGAAAATGAAGACTTGTTTTTTTTAAAAAAAAAAAAAAGACCTACAACACAACATTTCAGTAAATTTAAGACTTTTTAGGTCTAAAATTTTTATTTTGGAATTTAAGACATTTTATGACTTGCGGAAACCCTGTTTAAACACAATAGCCCTGGTATTACTTATTATAATAATGGTGTAGTTCTAGATAATATCTGTGAGAACTAGTAACAACTACTAGAAACAAGTTTAAACCCATAAAGAAGTTGATGAAAAAAGGGAATTGTGATCAATGTGACATATGCAAATGGAAAGTACTAAGTCAACAATATCACTGTAATAGCAGATATCTTCTATGAGAATACTGTAGGTCAAATATCCTCAGCTCAGTTAAACTTTTAAAAAAAATATTTTTTTTATTTATTTTATAAAGCACCAGTGCTCAAGAACTCTTTACAAACAGTGGGAGAACAAAAAAACGCAATAACGAAGGTAATGACAAAATGAATGAGAACAAGTAACAAATGAAACTCATTCCTGTCTTTCAATGAGTGCTGATGTGCATTTAGGAGAACTAGGCAGCACACTCAGGGCTGCAAGATGGATTTAATTTAGTATTCTTATTATTAAAATATATCTGAATGAGGATCAAATGACTGAGTTGGTCTTGGAGAGTGAAAATCAGTATATATCAGTAAGAAAACCAACCTGTTTGTTCCTGCAGATCTTCCTGTTTGGCTGTGAATGTTTCTTCAATCTTCACATCTTCACTCTCCTCTTTAATAAACGCCATCTTCATAACAGTGTGGAGATCAGTCGCTTCAGCAGGAGTTTTTCTCTGTGTTTTGACACTTTATCCTGTTTAAAATGAACAAAAAAATTTTAAAATAAAAAAGTTTAAAATAAATAAAACAATGAACAGAAACAAAATAACTTCTCTTCAACACTTGCTTCAACGGTTTCTTTATATGAGAGTAATTTATAAAAAGAAATCAGGTAAAAGAGTAAGTCTGAGTAAGAAACAATGACCTAATTAAAACCAGTACTCCATTTCTTGTATACTTTGAATGGAATGACATTATGCTATTTAATAAATTAAAACACTTATTACACACATTTCTGTTAACTTATTCAAACAATAGCCCTCAGTACTGTGAGTAAAACAGTATTACGTTGTATAAAGGGTAAAATAATGTTGTCAACAGCAGGTTCATAATTTAGCATCGGGTAAAAAGCATGAAACTTTAATCAATCGGTTTATTTTCATGTAAAAGTTTTAAACACAAGCCTTTCTCCAGCTGAATCCCAGCGCAGAAGCGGCGCAGCCTTATGACGTCACACGCCACGCCAAAATAAAAGTCTTTTTTTTGTTTAGCTTTCTTTGCCACAATGTAGCAGTTATATTAATACATTTCTCCCTCGTTTTCCACTTTCCACTATAACTGCTCTCTCTTTCTCTCTCTCTCTCTCACACACACACACACAGGCACAGCTAAACAGTATTTGAAGTTGATCAAAACCTTTAATCTAAACATTTTTAGAACAATTTTGAAAAACTTTTTAAATCCATTTTATGATGACGCTAAAGCACATTACTATTAATATCTAAATCTCATCCTTGTAATTATGACATCTACTTTCCTATTTCTCCAACTTTATAGGTTTTAGTGCAGTCTAGGGTGTACACTAGGCACTCAGGCATTGTCCACAACCTGTTGAACTTGCTCGTCTTTAGAACATGAATGAAGACACTTTAGATGAAATCTGTGAGTCCCGAGATGCTTAAAGTCCAGAAAAGGAACCAAAAACATTGTCAAAACAGTCAATGTGACTGTAGTGTTTTAAGAATTCGGTACATTTACATTTATATAGCACTTTACTGGGCACTCAAAGCTCTTTACACATAGGGGGAAATCTCCTCATCCACCAATTAATTGTAATCGAGTCTCAAGAACACTTTGTGCCGTTGAACCATAGTGGCTGTTTTTTTTTATTTTTTTTGCCGCTGTATTCTTCAGTATATCTTCATTTGCATTCAACAAAATAAACTCAAACAGGTTTAGATCAAGTAGAGGATGAGTAAATGACAGAATTGTATTTTTTTGTGTGAACTATTCCCCTTTAATGCTTCTGTTAGTGAAGGTAAATTAAATATTATTACTGAAGATATTGCTAAAGAATGGCAAGAAACATAGAATACAGATAATAAGAGATGAAAATTCATATGAAATGGATGCCATTTCCACATTGCAATTTTCAAAATTCTCATTAAGTACAAACTTAAAAAAAAAAAAAAAAACTACAACTTGAAATATATCTTAACCCTCCAAAACAGCTATTTTCCCACTTCAGGCACAAAATCCTTATTAATTATATTGCTTTTCTTTAGGCAAGAGAGCCTCTCTTGTACCACACCGTTACTGACAATATGTATGATATTACAGAAGTAAAATAACTAATTGCTTTTTAATTTTAAAGGTTTTCCAAATAATCTTTTATGCAGCTATCAGTGGAAAGTCTGTAGTTTAATGAATGTTTTTTATTATTACATTTTTAACTTTGAAAAATAAATTTGGCATCTCAATTACCTCATTGTTTTCACTGAAAAAACAAATTACCTTAAAAAGTACAAATCAACTTACATTTTTATTCATTAAGTCCACACAGCAAGAACACCATTCAACATTAATTTATGTAATATTTCATTTCATTTCCATAAACCTGTAAGAAAATGACAGTGTGACGGGGTGGTATCTGCTGTGACAGGGTTGTTCACTTTGAAAAGGTGGTAAGGACAATGTGTTTTAAAAGTAATTCGACCAGTGTAAACCTTTAAACACGGTCATTTGTGAAGTTATATATATATATATATATAATAAGGTATGTAAAATTAGACCATTGAGGTAAGATGGACCACCTCATTTGGACCATGGACCATGGCATTTTCTGTGTGGAGTTTGCATGTTCTCCTAGTGTTGGTGTGGGTTTTCTCCGGTTTCCCCTACAAGTCCAAGCACATGTGGTATAGGTGAATTGGGTAAGCTAAATTGTCCTTAATGTATGTGTGTGAATGAGTATGGGTGTTTCCCAGGATGGAAGGGCATCCGCTGCGTAAAACATATGCTGGATAAGTTGGTGGTTCATTCTGCTGTGGTAACCCAAGAATAATAATGGGACTAAGCTAAAAAAAGAATGAGTGCTGAGTATACTGTGTGTCCAATAAGGTTTAATCTGAACTGTGTGCTACTCTTGATGAAAACAGATCTGTCTGCAATTATGTTATAAGATGTGAAATATTTAATCATAAACAGTATCCTTCACTCAAGCATTCATAATCTGTCTGAGTGAATGACTAAAAATGAGTGTGTGAAAGAGATAGTAATGAAGTGTGTGAGAAACCAAACAGAGTTAAATTAAAAGAAAATTACTAAATTAATTGATTAGCCCTAAAGAATCTTTGATTTCATACATCTTCACATTCAAATAGGGTGCAGAACCACGCCATCACATCCCTTTACCACCCCATCACAGTAAAAAATGTGACAGGGTGGTAAAGTGCATCCAAAAATGTCTGCAAATATCCCATGTGGTCAAGTTCCTCACCTAGCATACATTTATTCAATCTGAAAATTTACTCTTCTTTGCTTTATAAATGTAAAATAAATAAATAAATAAGTTTACCCTATCTATTTTGCGTGACAGAGTGGTTGGGTAAGCTTGACAGACCCTGTCTAACAAGAAAAAAAAAACAGAAATGTAAATAAATTTTTGTAATTCCCTGCTTTTAGTCAATTCTGTTTTGTGATGTAATTTAAAGCAAAAGTACATCATTTACTGATGAAACAAGTTAGTGTGACGGGGTGGTAAGTCAAACTGGGACGCACACAAATCAGGAAATATTTACAAAAAATATATAAAATGTATAAATTAAATATATCTTATGGAAATAGAAACAAACATATAAACCTCAAAACAATAAAAACTTTGGAGGGAAAAAGTCATTTATTTGGTGATATTTTAGGTGCAAATTCAATGCTGATCAGCACAGACATGTGAAATCTGTTATGTAATCATAAAAAAGTATATAAAAAAAGAATATTACACTTTAACAATCATCATTTATAATGTATCATGCTAGCAGGAAGCCTTGAATTAATTACTTTAAGCTTTGGAAAAACAATTTAGGACATTTTTGTGCTTCATGCAGCTCATGAAAAGTTACAGACACAAATGGCACCCGTTTGACCCATAAATGTTTAGTAAAGCTTTTGATCAACTCCAAATACTGACTATATGTGTGTCTGTGCATGTGGGAAAGTGAAAAACAAGGGAGAAATGTATCAACAAGTCATGATTGCAACAGTAAGTAGCAATAAAAAGCTAAACAAAGACTCTTATTTTGGCGTGTCGTGTGACGTCATAAGGCTGCGCCGCTACTGTGCTGAGATTCAACTGGAGTAAGGTTTTTTTTTAAAGCTTTTTACAAAGATACAAACCGATTGACTAAAGTTTTAGGTTTTCGCCCGATGCTATGCTATACCTGCTGTTGACAATATTGTTTTAACCCTTTATACAATGTAGTACTATTTTATTCTCAGTAACTGAGGACTATGTTTAAATAAAGAAAAGTGTGTAATGAGTGTATAAAAGAAACCTTTAACCTGATTTATTTTTGGTTAATTACTCTCATATAAAGAAACTGTTGAAGCAAGTGTTGAAGAGAAGTTATTTTGTTTCTGTTCATTGTTTTATTAATTTTAAACAGGACATTTTTATTGTTTTGTTCATTTTAAACAGGATAAAGTGTCCAAACACAGAGAAAAACTCCTGCTGAAGCGACTGATCTCCACACTGTTATTAAGATGGCGTTTATTAAAGAGGAGAGTGAAGATGTGAAGATTGAAGAAACATTCACAGTCAAACAGAAAGATCTGCAGGAACAAACAGGTTGGATAACTTACTGATATATTTTTTAATAATAAGAATACTAAAATAAATTAATCTTGCAGCCCTGAGTGTGCTGCCTATTTCTCCTAAATGCACATAAGCACCCAGGAATGAGTTTATTTCTTGTTTCTTTGTTCTCATGTCTTTTGTCATTATTTTTATATATTATTAGTCTCCCATTTTCTCTATCTTCTTAAGGTTATTGCTTTTCTTGTTCTTCTACTGTTGGTAAAGTGTCCTTGAGCACTGGCGCTATATAAAATAAATAAAAACAATAAATAAATAAAAAAAGTTTAACTGAGCTGACGATATTTGACCTACACTATTCTCATAAAATATATCTGGTATTATGGTGATAGTGGTTTCTTAGTTTTTTTTTTTTACCATTTGCAAATGTCACGTTGATCACAATTACTTTTTTTCCATCAACTTCTTTTCAATTCTGACTTCTTTATGGGTTTAAACTTGTTTCTAGTAGTTGTTACTAGTTCTCACAGATAATGTCTTCGAATTGCATCATTATTATAACTAATTGCCAGGGCTATTGTGTTAAAACAGGGTTTCCGCGAGTCATAAAATGTTGTAAATTCCAAAATCCAAATTTCAGGCCTTAAAAAGTCTTAGATTTACTGAAATATTGTGTTGTAGGTCTTAAATCTTTTTTAAACAAGTCTTCATTTTCCTTTGTTTATGTTTTGCTACTCAATCTGGCCAAAACCCACACAATCACCAACAATCCATCTCAATAAAACTTTAAACTTTTTATTTAAAAAGGTCATTTTAACTCTATTTATCATAATGGTTTAATTATTTTCCTTACAATAACATATGTTTAAACATGCTCCA